TCAATACGCAGCTTTGTCTTTCACAGATACCAGCCATCACTCAGTGCTGCAATTATCAATTTCACATAACAAAAAGGCAATGACTAAAGGCTGCTCTTCATTTTCCTTCAACAACCCCAAGGACTTGCTCAAAAAAATATTTTGCATTTCCCAAAGGTTATAATCATAAACTGTGAATTAATACACATCTTTCTCTTTCTGCCACTCACTCTCTTTTATTCAGGTCATCTAGATTTCCCTCCAACTACTCCCCACACCAAACACACACAATATACAATTAAGGGTGCATTCTACCCTTACTGGAAAATTGTGTATGTCTGTCTGTCTAAGAGGGCATACACTGAGAATCACCATCTGAAAAAAGGGGATATTTGAAGATTATTTTTACGCAGAGAATTGCTGGAATATTAACTACCTTATCATTTGGAAAGCAGTGAACACTGATCTCAAAGCCAGAAAACTTATCTCTTAACTTCTAGTGAGCAGAAGTGGCACACAGTCAATGTTCTTGCTTTGTATGTCACCCGCAAAATATACAGAGTAACATCACTTTACAGCTTATTCTGTGAATTGCTTTGATTCGTCTCGATAACATGATAATCCGCTATATCAAATGCAAGAATTGTTGTTATATTATTGTCGTCACATGTCCTAATGAACAGCATTAAATGACCATCAGTAAGAGAGCATTAAATGCTGCTGGATACATTCAGCGCAGTCCAGACAGAACCTGCCGTGAACTAGCATGTGCTCTTTCACTTCTCGGACTTTGGGTCAAGTAGAGGCCAAAGTAATTAAATTAACATCTCATGCCTCTTTTGTCTGATATCTATTAAGAGCCCTCAATGAAGTTAAGTCTGAACAACGTCAATCCAGTTTCTAGGAACTGAGGCCACAGCACAAAAATAAAACATGTCACAGGAAGGCGCCACATACGGTCGAATGCCACTTCTCCATGTGAAGCTCCGATATCGGGAATTATCTTTGTTGTGTATGTGTGAGGTTGTCAGCATCATAATTTTAATGCAGTGGGACCGAATTGCCTATAAAAGGTGAAGAGATTTGATCCAAATAGAGATAGACAACCATACACCCACACAGTGTTAGAGAGAGAGAGAGACATACACAGTTAGATATATACCCACTCCCACACAGTGTTAGAGAGAGACATGCACAAACAAACGGCCATACACGCATGGTAGAAAGAGATAAATACAGGTAGAGAAGCAGAGGCATGCGCACACACACAGAGTTAGAGAGAGAAGCACACGAAAAACTTACACATATCCATGATGCACTTTGTTTTCCTCTTGGTCAATTAGGCTGGTCCCAATTAGAATGGATATTGGTTCTCTACAATAGGTCACAATAAAGGACTGTGTTGTACCCAAGACTGTCCCAGGTGTGTCCTATATGGACACTTGATGCTGTCCTCTGGACTACACGCAAGCATTTGCTGTAACCATGATCAAGCAAAACCCAACACTCAGTAGTGTGTCACAATCTTTGCTTTGACTGAGTTTACTCCAGGTTATATAGGTGTAACAAAAGGCTGTTAAAATACTATAAAATGTTGTTTCAGCTGGGCCTGGGAAGGGTGCGCACATCCAACACCATTCAAGTCCACACCCAACTCGATCAATGGGCTTGGTTTTGGATTACAATACACCCCCACCTCAATTCATGTCCCACGTGGAAATGTATTCCAGTCCTGCTCTTGGCTTTGTACTGGAGAATAGGGAGTGTTTGTTTTTAATTAAGTGGGTTGTCAGGTACCAGGCTTGGCTCAGTTGCCCATCAACTTACTCTTTGCCCAGACAGGACAAACCTGAGCAGTGAGTGAAAACACCAGGTCAGAAGTCATTTCCTTCTCCCCTGATTGAAACAGCTGAGAACACAGTGCATTGCTCTGAAGACTACAGATCATTTCCTTGATATATTTTTTAAGACACTTATCAACATTCCATACTTAAAGCAACTAAATATAGTAACCATGACTAAATATCAGTAAAACGCCTGAGGTTTCATATTTGCATTCCAACTGAGCAACTAGTGTTTAACTTCTTTCTCCATGAGTTTACTACTTAAAATAGATTCTTATTCTCTCTTCCCCCACTCCTATTTTGCCAGGAATCGAACTCAGATCTCTTGCTTGCAAGGCAAGTGCTCTAACCATTGAGCTACAGGACTCAATGCAAGGTGGATCCCAGTGTTGTGAGCTGCAATTCTACTCCTTCCTTTTCCCTCAATGAAGCCAGGTAACCAGAGTTTGAATTCACCAGGCCGGGAGAAAAACACTGCCATTCCCTGACAACTCTGAACAAATGCCACACTCACTACCTTTGTCCTCTCAACAACTAGCAGGGCAAATTGTGGCAAATCCAATTTACGGGATTCACAAATATAGAAGCTTGCACGGATGTGGACTTTTCACACTGATCCGCTGGGATTTTGCTCCGATGTCAATTCCACATCTGTGCAAAGTCAGATTGGAGCCAAAGTAGGCATCTGCAGGAGGTTGGCGTCTGATCAAAGTTCCGTCAGGTGGGCATTATACACATCTGTGCAGGATTTGCACTTTACCAATCTGTTTACAAATGATGTAAATTCCCCTCCCACCCACTCCAACATCCATGTTATTAAAAAGAGGAATGCTGCCTGTTTTAGGGATTGCATGATTTGCAAACATCTAGCATTACCTGACTCCAGCAAGTAACTTCAACTACTTTCAGGAATAAATAAAATAAATCTCTGTTAAAGTACCGAGCCATGTATCTTTATATACCTTTTTGTTATGACACAGCTGCATATTTGCAAACTTAAAAGAAATATACTGTGTTTTACTCAACAACTTGCAAGTCAATGCCAAATTAGTGCAGCTGTGTTATGCTTGGAACTTTATCATGGAAACACAAGCGAACAAAAGGAACCGTACACAAAGTGTGGTACAGAAGGGCATGAAGCAGGGTATTGGATATTGCACAGGAACTTTATAAAGGCAACTGAGAGGGATTCAGAAGACACCCTAAACTGAAAAAACAAAACTTGGGTGGCTTATCTTTCCCACCTGAATCTCGCCATTTTATTCTCAAGTCAAAGTCACTGAGAAGTATTTAAATGTTGTGTTCCACACATGTTAACCCTCAATCCTGGGGGACTGCTGCTGAGTGCAACTTCCCGGTTTTGATGGGATTTTCGTTTCAGTCTGACCTGGCCACTTCTCTCACGTATCAGTGTCAATATTGGGAGTCAGAGTTTTTCACGGGCTGCAAAGCTCGTCTTTTAAAGTCGTCTTTTAGCCAACGAAAGATTCAGTTTTCAAAAAGGTCGCTTCCCACCTACCAAATGGAGCAGAGAGGGAGGCAGAGGAAAGTAAGTAGGTGTATTGAAGTTATAATTAGTTTGGACTAAAGGATAGAATATACAGAGAATGGAAATATGTTGGGCGAAAAACAAATAAAACTATTTTTTAAGAAGTGCAGAAAGTAAAGAAACAAAAATAAAAGCAAAAAGGCTGACTGCAAATGTAGGCTAAGTCTGTCAATTTTAATTGTTGTTTTCAGTAGTTTAGGGTTAATGTTTCAGTAGGATCCCAGTAACTTTCCGATGATATTGGGGATTAAACCATAGAAAGATTGACAATTAAACTTTCTTATGTTATTGCAGCTGACTCTGGGAGAGTGAAATCAGAATAGAGATAGTGATCAATGCTTTGAGATGTCCTCTCAATGCAAAAGTCTACATAAATTATACTGTATCGATGCCTGACTAGAGCTTCAGAGAGTCGGAGGCAAAACTCGCAGACTTTCATAATTTGTTGTTTACAAATCTTTCTGCAACTCCCTGTAATGCAGATCCCACCCCCTCACACACACATCCCTAATATTAGTCTTTCTTTGACAACATTACAATGCAAGAGCTGAATATGTATGTACGTATAAAACTGTGATGGGATGCGTTACTATTCACTAGGTGGGTCAAAAACGATGGTAGGCTCCTTCCCCCATGTACATCTCTGCATAGAGGATCACAGCTGCTTTAAACTGGGGTGCATTCTGACCTTTGCTAGAAAAATGAGATTTATTTATACTTTTGTTGGCTGACAGACTGAGAATGACAATAACAGGAATCCAGCGGAGCAGCCATCAGTTCCGTAGGATGTAGTGAGCCGTGGCATCATTGTCAATTCCCCTAGATATACCTCATAGTTATTCAAAGGTATATGGTTGGGTGTTAAGAGCAAAATCTGGATGTTAATATGACTGTTGGTGACCACTGGCCTGCCCGATGCTGCACCATTTTACACGAAGGGGAATGTGGAAACGAGAAGTCTTTGTATTAGTTGATTGCTATCTGCTGCCACACATTGCTGTGAGTGAAAACCAAAACAAAAACTCCCCTGATGGCACACTTAAACAATGCATCATGTGGAGTGGGTATTCAGCCAAAGAGACCAGGTCCTTTGGCTTGGTCTATGCTGAATTAGCTACACTCAGCCAGAGCACAGTTATTAAAAACCCTATTGCTGTCCAGCGTCCCTTGCTGAAAAGTGGCAATGTGAAGGTATTGAGCTCAATTCAGACACCCTCAGAGTCAAGCAGCCTACAGAGACTCACTGTCTATCAAAGATGGACAGGATCTGATAAAAGTTCAGGATCAAAGGCTCAAAGTATAAATCGAGGTAATCGCTTTGTGCGTGGAACATGACAACTTCTGAATGGCTTGGACCACAGAAATATCAAACCAAGGCTGAAAATTTACCTTGAATGCAAAGCAAAATTAGAAAGGTCTTCTGGAGCTCTGATTTGTTTATTCCTTTGGGACAGCGGAAAGAAACTTCACAAACATTTCTCTCAGGAGATGAAATGTGGATATGCTCCAAGAAAGATCATAATGTGCATTGTGCAAGGAAAAGGCTCAATGAAGTAGATAGCTTTATCTCATTCTATCTTTTCTTTTATTCTCAAAGAGGACAACTTTATCATGATGGGTATTCTTACCTGATAAGAGAGTCATACTGATGATCCATCTCCTCAAACCGGTGACGGTGCTGCTGTGCCTCAACTGTAGAGGGATGACGACCATTGGGGCCTTTTACAGAAACCTGCAAACAAACATAAATGGCTAATCAGAGACCTACACCATGTACATTGTTGCACATCGGTGCCTTCCAAAAACTTGTGAGTGCGTGGGTGAGCAGAAGGGAAGCTATTGTGAAGATTTTTAAGATAACCCACTGTCTGAGTAAGGTTATCATTCGACAATGTAACTGTTCACCTACAAAATAATAGTCACTACACTTCACAGTAAATCCTTTTGAGATATCCTACTGATGTGAAAGATCGTATATCACATGCAATGAATGTGATAATAATAATGAATATTATTATGATGATAAATATGATTGTTATGATTATTTTGTCTAGCATCGAACCAGGGGCACTTGTATATTGCGACACTTAAGGTCAGACAACTGACAATGCCAGGAAATGGGAGGGACTTTGGGTGATAAGTTGCCAAATCAATTCTGGAGATCAGCTGTACCAGAGTCACTCAGATACAAATGCAGCACTGATAAATGGGGTACAGGATGCACATGACACCTGGAGAAGTCAAAGTTGTTCATCTTAAAGGAAGACCACTGCTCTGAACGGGTCACTGCCATTCATAATTCAACTTAAAGACTGCGCTGACCTCAATTGATCTTATTGATTGCAATAGAAAAACAAGAAAAAAATTGCAAACAGTGCAAGTATAAATATAAACTATGGATTATGAAGACCTTTTGCACTCTTATCGATTTTTATTTTGGCAAAAAAAAGGAAAGAGATTGCTTTGAATTATCATATAAAATAACTATTGAACGGACCTTTGTTGCTCTTGTTGATTTTAATGTAAGAAGGGTAAGAACCAATTAGGCAATTATTTAGATGCCAGAGTATATGGTGTCAGATTTAAAGGTCGGCCATGAAATTAATTGTGTCAGGTGAGTGCTTAGCACCAAGGCATTCCCTCCATAAATTCATTGAAAATCACACTCTAGGCAGCTGCTGGTAGGTCCCAATTGGCCATATACATATAATTTTTGAAATTTTACGACAAAACGTTTAAGATTTGCATAACTGTAAATAAAAAAAATTAATAACAGCGGCACTGCTTCTCTTTTGGGGGAAATTACTCATTTTACGAACTGTTTTGCTCAGGATATTATTCATAGAGTAATGGCCTTTTCTCATTCCTCTACTCCTATATTAGAAGGGGTCAAATGGCCTAAACAGGCGAGGGTGAAAATCGATCATTTGAAGCAGAGATTACATTCCATCTTTTTATTTTTCTCCAAAAAAATCCTTTGTATTTATTTTCTTCAAGTGCATATATGTGAGAGTCTGGAGAGCAATTTATCTTGCTTAGATGGTTCATTGGAGAATCTGGATAAGGAAGTAAATCAGTGAGTGTGAACTGACTGTGGAGAACCTGAGTGCAGTGACAGGGGAGTAGATGGGCTTATCAGTATTTTGTGACATCTTAACTGAAGTGACAGGGTGTGCAATTTTCCCATTCAGTGATATCAGGAAGTGGTACTTTTGGCAGTAATGGCTCACCCGATGATAATTCTCCTTTCATTCGCCAATTTTCTCTTTGATCGCTGCTGAATGCAACAACTCGCATTGGAGCACAGTTCCACAGGTGCTTTCCTTGCTATATAATCATGACAGAAATACAGCCGAGCTCAGCACTGTACCCAGCTTGCTCACATTAGCACACGAGGGCCACACTCACTTTTCAGAGAACAACCAACATTTTTATTTTTATGTATATCTTGGAGTGCTTAAAGGTCACTGGACAAGAGCAGGAAGCGACTTTTCTGGATTTCATTCCCCGCCTCTCCTATTGTCATAACACAACCAGGTAGTCATGCCAACTAAAGGTGAATTGATCTCCCTCCAGATTATCCTCCTGGAAAAGGCAAGTGTGTGGACTACAGGATCAGACTCGTGTACAATGCCCTCTGATAAGGCTGTTGCATTGTGAGAGCAATGAATAGACTTGTGACACTCCTTGTCAAGGCTCCTACATGAAAAATAGACGCTGGGTGAAGTGCCAGCAGCTGTGGAATTCTAGCCAGGAGAAGAGCAAAAAAATACCTTTAACAGAAGGAAATCAAGACAAAACATGATGGATAGTTTTTAGTTTTCTCTGTTGACCTGTAAACTGAAGTGATTGCATTTAACAGCACGAATGCACAATATGGGACAAATAGATGCACACCATGAAACACATTTTGCACAGTAAATGGGAAAGTATTTGTCACTTGATCTTAAAATTTGTTACAAAAACACTTTGGGATTTGTGAAATGAGTTATTGTATTGGTCGGACTATTTTTCAGGTCATTAACTCAGCTATAAGAATACGAGACATACCCCAGTCGAACTGAAGACTTCAAATGGAATAAATGTGTGGTAGTGTGAACTGCGCTACTCACTGCCAAGGCTCACGTGTCAACAATGGCCACTTGGGCAGGGCACCTGAGGGCAACCAACCACCACCACCACCAACCAAATTACATTTATAGAGCGCTTTTCACGTTGGGAGGACGTCCCAAAGCATTGAACAGTCAGGTGTCGGAACCCGAGCATGGGGGAGGGGTGAGGGAAGGCAGAAGGTTGGGAGGGTGACCAAAGGCAGGATCGAAGAGAAGGGTCTTGAAACCGACCTTGAAGGAGGTAAGGGAGGAAGTGAGGCGAAGGGACCATGGGATGGAGTTCCAGAGTGTGGGGGCAGAGAGACTGAAAGCCCAGCCACCGATGGTAAGGAGGGTTGGGTAGAAGACATGGAGCAGACTGGAGCCCGCTGAACAGAGAGAGCGGGCAGGTTGGTAACCAGCGCCTATAGAACTGCACCTGAGCATAAGGAGATCAAACCAATAAGGAGAACAGCTTAAGACACATACTTAGACGCACTAAATCTTTTTCTAAACATTCGGTGATTCACTTAATCCTATAATAATCCTTGCATTTGATATAGCGCTTTTCAAGTCGGGAGGAAGTCCCAAAGCGCTTCACAGAACACACTGTAAAGTGAATTGACTGTATATTTGTGGGCGAACGCGGCAGCCAATTGCGCACAGCAATATCCCACAAACAGTCGTAGATTGAAAATTACCAATTTTTATTATTGTTTTTGGTTTTGGAGGGATTATTATTAGGCTCTGTGTGGAGTAAGGAAACTTGCCCAAGGTTTCGCCCTGCCTGGAATTGAACTCAGGTCTCTCACTTGCAAACTGAGCTACAGGACTTCATTAGCTTGTGGACAAAATAGCTGTGATGTTTGCCCAGAAGATCGATCACTACAATTAATGATTACAGGTGAAGCATTTGAGATGTTTCAACGTACACGACAAAACTTTATAAAAAAACAAGTCTCTTTTCTTTCTTCCAAATATCCAGGCATCAGTAAGCTATAGGTTGCCTATTGACAAAGGCTGTCTGTTTAACCAGCTATTCTCTCATCTACTGATACATGGCACCGAGGAACCAGGAAAGATGAAAAATCGATTGCCTCAAATTTTACTTGGGAGGAAAAGATTTGATGGCGTCCATTCTCTTTAATTACTTTCTGCGACATTTAACCTTTAAACTGCTGGCCATTGCACTAGTTATTTATTTGTACGGAGTTCCTGTTTATTCAGCAGGGCAAAGTTTGCTGGCTGCATAACGCTGATGGCTGCTGAGCAAAAGCTGGGCGAAAGCTGAACTCTACAGTAACTTTACTCATTCATTGACATTTTAAACTGTTTGGTGAAAAGTGTTGACACCTAGTTGTTTAAATAGATTTGAAGCGTCAGGGTCTAGGTGCTGAGGTTGCTTGTTTAACACCCTTTTTGTTGTGTGCAGGTGATACATTTTTAGAAAAGCACGAACTTTCAGTGCAGGGAAGAAGGGGTTCCACTCACTGGAGCTGCTGAAAACCTCAAGAGTCTCCTTACACACCTGACAGTATCACGGTTATAATAAATAATACTTGCATTGGGTTACAGTGCCTTATTGGGTCGGCAGGACTTCTAAAATGCTTCACAAGATCACTGTGAAGTATAGTGTTTGTAGGCGAACATGGCAACTAAGGGATCAGCCATGAAGGGATTGAAGCAAATAATCAATTTTATCGGGGGAATGTTGGCCAAGACTTCAGGAGAGACTCCCTTCTGTTTTTGAACAGTGCCATGGGATCTTCAAAGTCCACAATGCAATGCACCCCCAGCGCTTCACTGGAGTGTCACCTTGGACTGTGAATTCAGAGTCCTGATGTGAGGCTTGAAACAGCAGTAGTTTAGAGCAGTGTGTCAAGCCCACCATGGGGCAGTCTCAACATAAGGAAGAGGAGGAGGCCATTCAGCTCACAGAGCACGTTTATCAGATCACAGCAGATCTTTTAATCCCATTTCCCTGTCTTTCTCCTGAACCCCTTAATACTGTTACTTTCTAAGCATTTATCTACCTTTCTTTTAAAACGTCCTAATCCATTATGCCTTTGGGGCACAGTATCACTGACAGAGTCAACTCAGCCTTGCACAGGTTTCCTAATGATTCCCCGCGCACAGTAAACCATTGTCAGTGGGGGTTTTCAGGTTCAGCTACTGCACTCGCCAAGCATTGTCTCGCTTAAAATAGGAGTCCCAATGCAAAGCCCTTGCAAGGGGCAGAGTCCTGCAGCTATATTTGTTTTGAGAGGAGAGTTGAAATGTTCCACTGAATGACATTACAGCTTCTAGTCAGGGAACAGTGGACATGCAGTCACCCAGGCAGAAAGCAGCCATTGTTCCACACACTGACAGGTCATGTTGGAAAGTATTCACAAAAGCGTTCTTGTTTAAGATGTGCCGAACTTTGACCTCACAACTTAGGGTCGTTTACAACTGAGTGATGTTTGTTTCTGTGCACATGACAGTAAATTGATTTTTTTTATTCTTTGAAGGGGAGGGGAGGAGTTGCGGTAGAAAACCACTGAACCTGGAGCTCGTTTCTGGAAACTGGGAAGTTTTAGTAACAGGAGCACTTTATAGAATTATAGGATTAAGTCACATACCACCCAGCAAGAAGCAGGAA